GGTCTGAGACTAACCTTGCTGGCAGTAGGACGTAAACAAGAATCAATTCATTCACCCTTCCCCTTTACTTTCATGTGTTTGTGAGTGTGTATTTGTGAGTGGGTATATGTGTGTGAGTGTGCATGCGTGTGAGTGTGTGCATGAGTTGGTGTGTGTAAGTGGGCAAGTGTGTGTATGAGCTGGTGTGTGTAAGAGGGTGAGTGTGTGTATGTGAGTGGGTGTGTGTGAGTGTGTATGTGCGTGAGTTTGTGTGTACAGAAAAGTGCATGGTCAATTCACCAGGAGTCCAGAGAACTCAGGTTGCATGCAAGCTTCCTCACGCTCTTGCAAGTTGTTTCTCTTCTTTGGGCTTTCATTTCCACATTGAGAAAATTAGATGATTGTATTAAATTATAGATTATAAACATGATCTTAGCGGAATCTTTATTTTCAAATGCAAGCTTACGGGGAGACTAATATATGCAACATGTAAAAGAGGAGCTGCCTGGGTTGAACAGGACCCAGGGCCCCAAAGCCAAGTGGCTTCCTTTCCTCCTCACCTTTTGGAGCAGCAGATCCCTAGGATCCTTGGAACATCTTTTGAAAACTGCCAGTCCCCGTGTATTTTCTACAGTTTTTTCGAATTGAGGGATTATAATCATGATGATATGGAAAAAAGTTTCCTTAGTTATAAAATTCATGAAACAGAGCTGAAGTAGCATAATTTCCCTGAAAACAGGAAGTCAGGATTGCCAAACTGCAAAGCAAGAGTTTTCAGACCATACTGCATTCGTCCTTATAGAACCTTTCACCTCCTTTTAGATGAATTGTTGGCAGGCAACGGCTAGCTGTTGTGTTGCACATGGAAAGATTACTGGGCTGGAAAGGAGTGCTTTCATAACCAGCTGTGAGTCATTAGCAAATTATTTCACCACTCAGAGCCTCAAATTTTTATTTGTGAAAAGAGGGGAATAAAATAGACTGGTCACTAGGAGGTCACGTATAGCTCTAAAAATGTTCTGAGATATAGTTAAATTATTAATTTACTCACAAAAATTTGTCATGCAAATACTGTGTGTCAGGGATCACTTGCTCTGTCAAGGAGATTATAGTCCAACAAGAAGACAGACACTAAACAATGATGCATTATCATTGGAAGTAGAGGGTGCTCATAGAAGAGGGTCTCAACTTGGACCAGGGGTCAGAGTGGTCCTCCAGACAGAAAGGAAGAGACAGAGAGACACACACACACACAGACAGAGAGAGACAGAGACAGAGAGAGATACAGAGAGAGATTAAGAGAGAAGGGGGAGAATGATGGGGAAGGAGTCTGTATGACTACAGATTAGGGAGATGGGTGTGATTTGAACAGCAGGTAGAGATATCAGTGACCAAAAGAACTATGACTAATTCACTTTCTAATATACCAACCTGATGGGTAAAGCAAACTCTTGGTCATTTTTATATTCTATTATGCTCCAAAATATTTGAGCAAGCAGCTTGCAAAGATGTATAAAATATACAAGATAATCTACAAAAAAATGGTGAAAGAAAAAATGTTAGATGCAGAGTAGAGCCAAGAATAAGAATAAAAGTGCACACCAGAGTGACCTAAATTCTTGCTACAGATAGGCCACAAATTTTACTCAAAACTTCTCAGCGGCCAATGTGGAAAGAGTTCCTGTTTCCATGTTCAGTGATACAATTCACAATGTTGATAGGACAAATACAGAAAAAGTGTTCATAAGAAGGCAGTTAGAGAGTGGATTTCTTCTAGAGTCCTTCAGTATAAACAATTCATCGTGGGTGCTGATACAATGTTGTCTGCTAAACACTCTTCTTATCTGGCTTAATCCAGGAGTAGACTTTAACACATCAATCCCCATCCCTTATTATCCCCCTAACCCCAATATCTTGATGCATTGCCACTCAAGACTGTTTTCCTTCACCAGAGCCCACAGTCCAACTGATCATTTCTTTAATCTGCATGCAGATGAAAATACTATAGCTGGGATGGGCCCTCATTACTTTTGTTAACTTTGCAGAGCATATTCATTCAACTCTATTTTTGTTTTAACATTTTGGTTTCTCCCTTGTTTCATGGTCGTATGGGAATAAAATCATTTATAAAATTGTTCCATTGAGAAATCCATTTTTTGAATAATACTATTTTAAATAAAGCTCATCATTCCTGGTGTATAACTTAAGTGATGATCTTACTGAAGCTAACCTTAACTATTTGACAGAAGTCAGTTCTCTTTTCTCTTTCTGCATTTAAATCATGCCTGACTTGAGAAAATAGCCAATTTTTGACAGAATTTGCTTTAATGTTTTCTTCTTCATCTCTGGATGATGCCAAGCACACATGTAAGAATACGTATTTTCAATTAATAGTCTTGGTGTCATGTAGATACGCACTTAAGATTTCCCTAACGTGTTAGTGTGTGCCTTTGTGTAAGTTCCTTAACCTCCTTCCTGAGCCTTACACATCTCATCTCTTAGATAAAAATAATTAAAACCTCTGTCTCATGGTGTGGTTGTGAGAACTAAAAAAGTAGTGTATATAGAGACTTTCCATAGTATGTAGTACATTGTACGTAAGTGAAAACAATAAACAATCCTATCTAACAGGGTCATTTCAAGCATTAAAAGAATATGTATTGAAGCTGTCAAGTAGACAAAATTGTTTGATAATATCATCCTTTGGCAAGGGTATGGGAGATAGGTGCCCTATTACATTGCTCACAGGAACACCCATTGGTAGTCACTCTAGAGAGAATTTAGCAGTATCTATTAAAATTTAAAAATACATATGCCCTATAAGTAGCAATTCAACTTAATTTCTACCATAACAAATGCATATTAGCAACAAGAAGAATGTACAAATGTGTATATTGCAACACAGTTTGTAACAAAGTAGCAAAAACTGGAAACTGCCTAAATGTCTATCAATAGAGGAGTAAGAACATAAACTTTAGTATATCAATTTTATGAAACAATTAAAAAGACTGAGGTAGGTTTATGTGTATAACATGGAGAGAGCTCCAAGAAATAATGATTGAATGAAAAAAAATCAAGGTCTGGAATGATCATTCAGTATGATTCCATTTATGTAAATACACACAGAGCTACATAAAACAATATTACATGATTTTTATTTGTACATACATGAATATTAATATGCAGAAAAAGTGTAAATTTACATACCAACATAAATAATTGTTACCTCTTTGGGAGTACAGAAAGGAATTAAAATTGAGGGTTATAGCTTAAAGGAGATGTTTTCTTACCTGTAGTGTTTTAATTTTCCTTTTTAACAAGGAATCTGTGCATATGCTATAGAATTGAAAAACAATTTTTAAAAGCTGCTGGGAGCAATGCTTGGCTTACAAAAAGCATCTAATAAATGTTAATCCCTTCCTTTGGTATAAAATCTCTAAGTTGTCTGTGAAGTGAATTTGGGTATATTTATTCTCTGTGCTTAACAAATATTTGTTTAATAAATGAATAAATATCCTATGCTTTAAGGAAACCATAGAGAGCAGTTTAGACAAGGATATTAACAACTTGGGAAGAAGAAAGATAACTAAACAAGAAAAAATAATATAGTCTCATAGGTACTGATAGATGAATAAAGGATGTTATGGGAACACGTGCAATAACTTTTAACATGGTTTAGAGGAGTAAAGGATCAAGCAGCATTTTACAAAGGAAACTTCAGTCTAAGTCGTAGCCTCTCCCATCGAGAAACTGCCAATAATCCAAGTGGTCAGAGGCTAGATCAAATAACAGCATGAATTGAAAGGAAGATTGAGGCAAAATAGTTACAGACAGAGCTGATGTGACTTAGGGTTGGCTGTCATGATTTTCCATGATTTATATACATAATCATTAAAGAAGCAGGACTTCAGAAATATTTGTCCTTTGCTCAATAACCATCTTGTAAAATAGGATCCAAGATCACTTAAAATCCACATTAAATTCTGCTGCAACTCACTTACTTTGTTGTCCTATCTCAGATGATGTTATGGAATGGGGTCCCTTCTAAGATAATGCATGAAAATGAAAGCAGGGATGTCAGAATCATGGGACAGGCTGAGATCACATTCCAGGAAGACAGTAGACAGGATACAACTCTAATACATGAAGTAGAAGTAAACTGCGGGTGGGGTGAGGACAGAGAGTGAGTCAAATATCCACACAAGACCATGAGTGAGAACTAGTTTAGAGAGCAGATATGGAATCAGAGCTTCCAGAGAAGCCTCTCTTCCCTGACCTTGTCCCTTAAATCAGGTGGTTCTACCCAGTCACTAGGAAGTTTCAGCCATGAAGGTTAACCATATGGTACTCTACTCTCCTTTAGGGCTTCTCACTTACCCTATCCCTGCTGTTTGCTCACTGTGACTTCACAGCTTTGGATTTGTTGGTTTGGGCCCCTATGTCTGGCCCTACAGGACCCCATGACCCCAAAATGGTGGCCCTTGGCTCTTCTCACACATGGTTTACAGATACCGTATTTCTCTCCTGGCTCTGAGCAGCCATTGCTGAACCCAGCTCAGTTGGGGTTCTCAGGTCCCTAATCCTTCCTGGTCAGTATCAACCCTTGGATAGGTAAGAATCCAAGGCAAGGGGAACAGAAAATTTGTCAAAAGAGTGAATGGATTAGTATGAGCAGTGTTACTGTAGAGAGGTCTCTATTGGACCCTCATGGTCCTGGGGCCATGCATTAGTTGTCTCTGAGGTGTGATAACCTGGACACAACACCTGAGACCATAAAGCTAAGGAACGCCATGGAAAAGCATATTTATTTTCTATTGCAAATGAACAAAACTGAAACTTTATCAGTTTATGGCAAGAAAAGTAAAGGGAAGAAAGCAAACCTTTGTTAAGCCTAATTGTACAATAGCCATGTAGGTTGGGGATCTTATTTAAAATAGCTTCTTTAATTTATTACTCAGATTCTGTGAGCTGCTTATTATCATGCCTGTTTACATATAGCAGAACTTAATATTTTTCTTAACTCAAGGAACTCTAAGACAAAGAGAGGGCATCTGCTTCTTTCTCTCCTTGAGTTTTTTCAATGCATCTTTGATTTCCTTGTTTCTCAGACTATATACGATGGAGTTCAGCATGGGAATCACAGCTCCATAGAACATGGACACCATTTTATCTTGGTCCCATGAGGAGCCAGTACTAGAATGGAGATATGAGAAGAGACCAGAGCCATAGAAGAGAATCACTGTGGTCAGATGAGAGGCACAGGTGTTGAAATCCTTCATCCATCCTTCGGTTGAATGGATCTTCATGACAGCAGCAATAATGTAGTCATAGGAAATCAGGATAATAAGAGCTGATATCCCACCAACTGCACACACAGCAAAAGAGTTCACTACCTGGCTGAAGAAGGTACTGGAACAAGACAAGATCAGCAGAGGCAGCAGGTCACAGAAAAAGTGGTTAATGACTAGAGGCCCACAGAAATGGAGCCAGAATATGGAGCTGGTTTGGACTAATCCAGTGAGGAATCCTCCAACGTATGCTGTCATGGCCATACCTACACAGATGGTTGGCGACATGAGGGTTGTGTAGAGCAGCGGGTTGGAGATAGGAGCATACTGGTAATATGCCATGGCTGCTAGAAGAAAACTCTCAGTGGCTCCCATCCCAATGAAGAAGAAAAACTGAGCAACACAACCCACAAAGGAGATAATCTTCTGCTGCTTGAAGAAGTCGCAGAGCATCCTAGGAGTGATGGAGGAGGTGTATAAAATATCAACAAAGGACAAGTTACAGAGGAAGAAATACATGGGGGAGTGGAGGTGTGACTCCATCCTGATCAGGATAATGAGGCTCAGGTTCCAAGCCAGAGTCATGAAATAGATCCCCAGAAACAACACAAAGAGGATAACCTTCAGCTCTAGATGCTCTGAAAATCCCAAAAGGATAAAATTGGTCATCATGCTGGTATTCCTTCCCATAGCTATATATCTTCTCTCTGCTGCCTTCAGAGCCCCAAAGGGAGATTCCTGGGACAATGAAAATCCAGGTGAAGAAAACTTTTTGTTCTGTCAAGGAATCATAGACTCCAGAGTCAGAAGAGACACTGGAAGGCAAATGTCCTATCTCCTTCTGATGGAGAATTTCCCTTTACAGCATTTATTGGGTCTTTTATGAGACCATTGTCACCCTGAAAAGATGCATTTGTTTATGCAAAAGTGATATGCACCAGAATAGACTGGAATTTTTGCATTATCTGAATCATCACCTTTACTGTCAATGTCACCACTTTACTGGAGGTAGTTATTAATAGTTCTAGGACGAAATGTCCCCCCCCCCCATTTTTTCAGTTGCTCCACGCATTGTTGTTGGATTATTGAGCCACTCAAATTTATACTAGATACTCTAGTCTTTTTTTTTAAGAAAATAAGTACGTTGAAAGTTGAAATGCCCAGAGAGGCAATTTTGTGTTTCTTATCATCATAGTTTGTTCTGATCAGGTTTTATGGGGTCAAAGTGTTCTTTGTCTTGAAAGCAGTGGAGTAAAGCACATAGAGATGTGAAAAACTGGCATCCCCTTTAGAGATTAAAGAAAGGATTAAAAAAAATACAAAGGTTTAACACTGAAATGCTACTACTCATTTTGCACAAATATTATCAACTGATCAAACACCTTGCACCATGTGTTTGACAGAGCTAAATGTGGACAATATAGAAAGTAATAAGACAGTATTATTAAGTTCAAAATATTCAATGTAACGCATAGGACAGACTGGAAACGGATAAATCACAGAGCAATGTGACAGGTCCTCTAGGAGAAGTATTTGCACAATGCCCTGGATCTTGGAGATAGAAAGTGGAGGCTTCTGAAGGGAGATGTGTTTGAGGAGGAGTCCAACAATGAATAAGGGGCTAACAAGATAAAAATTTGTTGTGTGAGGGTGTTGGGAGGCAGTTGGTTCAGAGAGGTTTATATTAAAGATGGGAAAATCACAGGAGAGCACAGGGTTTGAGGAAACTTAAAATGTCAGTGTGGGTGCTGGCCTGATGGTGTAGTGGTTAAATTCTGTATGCTCCACGTCGGAGGCCTGGGTTTGTGGGTTTGGATCTTGGGCCAGGACCAAACCACTCATCAGCCATGCTGTGGTAGTGACCCACATACAAAATAGAGGAAGATTGGTCACAGATGTTAGCTCAGGGTGAATCTTCCTCAGGGGGAAAAAAAAATCAGCATTGCAGGAGCACAGAATCAACGGGGTTAAGGGAAGCTAATAGAAGTCTAGTTTTGAGAGACAATGGGATGTGGAGAAATAGTGAAAAACCTTCAAAAGCAAAGATGGCAAGGATATTTGTTTCATATATATATATATAATTGCATATACTGTATATATAATTGCATATGCTGTATATATAATTACCTATATGTGTGTGCACATTCATATTTCATTTCAACCTTCTCTCCACTTCTGGACTTATGCCCCCCCTTTTCTCTGTTCTGTTTTCTTGATAGTACTTATCACCTCTACCATAGCATAGAATTGATTGGTTTGCTGATTATTGATTGTCTGTCTCCCTCCACTAGAATGTAAGCTTAACAAAGACCAGGATTTTTAGGAATTTTTGTCTCTTTTTTTTATTGAAGTATCCCAAGCACCTAGACCAGTAGTAGATGCTCAATAAATGTTTGCTGAATAAATATCATGTTAAGGAGTTTGACCTTTCTCTTATGGGCAAGAGGAAATACATGAAAGTTTTGTTTTTTTAATTTTACTTGTTTTCTTTGTAAACAGGGAACTGGTTGTCAAATATGTGTTTAATAATATAACTGAGAGCAGTGTGGAAGTGTAGAAGCAGTGTGAAAGATGGACGGGAGTGAAAACAGACTGAGAAGGAAGACTAGATAGTTGCTTCAAATGCCAGGAAGAAAGCTATTAATGATTTGAATTGAGACAGATTTAGAAACAAATGCTCCCCGGAGATGTAACAGCAGCATTCATTCTTCAGTGGCAGGGAAGAGAAACCATACATGGCCAGACAATTAGTCCCTGTCACCCTTATTTCTCACATTTGCAGTAATCATCAAAGGTATATTTTAGCAAGATCCATCATGATTCTTTTCTATTTGAATCCCAAGAGTCTATGATATATAATCTATTGCATTTTTAGAGTGTGATAAAAGCTAATTATCAATTATTTTATATCAATAATCTGTTTAGTTTGACCTGGATTATGTGGTGGTAAAGATATAGAAATAGTGTATGACACACATTAGATTTTCTTGTAATAATTATATATAATATATTGAATTAATATATTTCATATTATATATACATATATACATGTACATGTCCATATACATATACATATATACACACATATATATTTTAGTTTCCATGGTCTGAGAACCACCAACACTTATTTTTACAGTGTGTTTGAGTTTATGCAGCATTTTCATATCCATTGTGTTATTTGTCATCATCCAGAGTGGGGCTTTGATGTCAAACAGAGCTGGTCTCTAATCCTTATATCCTTGCCACTAGCTGTGTGATCTTGGTCAAGCTGACACATCACTCTTAAATCTCCGTTTGATTTTTCTCAACTGTAAAACAGAGGCAGTAATAGGACTACCACATAGATTGTGAGAATTAAATGAAATAACCTAAATCAAGTTTGGGAGAGAAAAATAATTTTTATTCCTTAACAAATGATCAGCACTGTAAGGATTTGAACCCAGGTCTCTTCATCTCTAACCCAAAATCTGCTCTCTACAGCGCCTGCTGCCTCAACACAGGTGCATGTAGTTATACACGATAATAATGGCTACATTGGCCATATGCCCTTTACTTATGTTATTGCCAGTATTTATAGCAACATCTTGGCTTATTTCATAACAATTAGCACACTTTGTATTTACTTTTGTTTGCTGACTTGTTCTATCTATATCCTTAGCTATAAAGTCTGGGAAGTCATTATAACCTCAGTGCCTCATACAGTGTCTGGCACATACTAGACGTAAAATAATGTTTGTTGAATGAATTCAATTTACAATAATTCCAAAAGACACATATTATGGACCAGGAGCTCACTGAGGTTATGACAGCTCAAGGAGTTATAGTGACTAAGCCAAGATTTAAACCCCGGATTCTTTGACTCCAGAGTCTGTTCTTCCCAAATGCTATAAAAGAAATTGGCCATGAGTCTGGGCAATCCATAGGACTATATTATAGGTGTAACTTCAACAGATGCGATCCTTTACCCATCCCAACTGATCGGACAAGAGTGGTTATGTGGAACCTGAATTCTGAATATCATTGTAAAGAATTTTCTTCTCCTCAACCTGGGCAGGTCCATTTACATTTTAACAAAGTTGAAGCTACACACCAAGATAAAGAGGTGAAGTTCTTATGTGGTAATTCCAAAATGAATGATATATTTGAGGTGCAGAGGATATTTGCAGTTCAGATGGCTTTGTAGGGTAGGATAAAGAAAAGCTAGAAAGACTAGCATGTAAGAAAACAAATATGTTTTCTATTTTCATCAATTCTTTATTCTCATCTGTTACAATCCTTGGCACGTGATAGGTTCCCAATGGATACTTGTGGACTGGCTCAATAAAGGGTTATAAAATATTTAATATATAGACACGGTAAACTTGCCCTAATCCCAAGACCATTGGACCCGTCCTATTTTTAAATACTGCATGGATGTTCAGAAAACTCTTGGGATGTACCTAAAATAATAAAATAATAGAATATCATAGGTAGAAACCAGTTATCTTAGACTTTCTCCATTATAGATAATAAAACTAAAGCTAAAAGAGAGAGAGTGGATTGTCTGCACAGTTGGTTAATACGAGAGGTGAAATTAGATCCTGTACCTCATTCTCCAGGAGTAGCCTTTTCTGCTGTGCCTTATTCCAAAACCTGGAGGCTCAATGGTAGCTAAAGAGGATCTGAGGAAACCAGGGGATTTTTTTATTGCAGACACACTCACACATGCATGCATTCATGAGTTTAGAATAGCATAAAAAGCACTAGCCTGAAGGTAAAAAAAAAAAGAGTTCTGATTCAGTTCCAGTTCCTCCTACCTGTTTGCTGTGTGACCTTGGGAAAAATTATTTGCTTTTCTGAATCCTAACTTCTCATCTACTGTATACAATAAATAGAGAAGTTTAGATCAATGTTTTCTAGTCCACTTTCCTTCCTTCTTTCTTTCCTTCCTTATTTCCATATGTAAATAGCAGAACATTTTTAAAAACAAAATCTTCTGCAGAATTCCAGAATATAAAATAGGTCAAGTCCAGCTCTTCTTATTAAAGTCAGAGCATTAGGGAGAAAGGATCCCAGCATCTTACCTGTTCCACCTTCCCCTCCTTCAAGGGTCTTTCCGACTCTCCCATTTTATGATTCTAGGATCCACCAGTAACTCTTCCTAAAGAAGGGCAAAGGGCAAACTCACCTACAACTCCTTAAACTCTGGGTTTCAATCAGATGGCTAACACCAGGTGCTTGGAGCTAGAACAAAACCCATCGCTGCTATCACCTGGATCACTGGTCTTGGCCAAAAAAATAAGTAAAATTTGCATAGGTACTTTAAATCAGTCACCAAAGGAGAAACTTGATGAGGTTATGCAGAAGGTCAGTTCACTCCTAGGTACCATTGGATCTCTCTAGGTAGTGGGAAATGGTGTGTCCCAGAGAGTTCCTATCGGCAACTTGGCTGGCTGTCTGGGCTAGGGAGTAAAGAGAACGCCAGCTTTGGCTGGGGGGAGTTGATTTCCATTGGCCCTGCTTCCATTACATTCCAAATCCCTGGTCTGCTTCCAATAACATACCCCTAGAGGCAGTAAAAGTCACGAGTGGTTTTGGCTTCAAAATACATAACTATTTCATCAACAGCAGTTACCTTCATAAAACGTTGGATATTTCACAGGACTTCTTCAATGTAAGAATATCTTTTGGATAACTGTAAGAGTTGAAACTAGGACTAAGTAGGCGAGAGAGAGAGAGACAGAGAGAGGGAGAGGCATTATAGGAAAACAACAAGGTAGTCCAAAGGTAGAATGGATGTCCTGGAAGGGAGCAAATTCTCCATCACTGGAAGTAAGTAAGAAGATAGTATACTTGACAATGACGATCTCATTTATATGTGGAATCTAAAAAAAAGAAAAATACAAACACAGAAACAGAGAATAGATTGGTGGTTGCCAGAGGCAGTGAGGTAGGGGATGAGGGAAATAGGTGAAGGTAGTCGAAAGGCATAAACTTCTAGTTAATATAAGTTCTTGGGATATAATGTACAGCATAGCAACCATAGTTAACAATACTGTATTGAATATTTGAAAGATGCTAAGAAAGTAGATCTTAAAAGATCTCATCACAAGAAAAAAATTTGTAACTATGTGAGGTGATGGATGTTAACTGTGGTAATCATTTCACAATATATGCATATATCAAATCATTATGTTGTACACCTTAAACTAATACAATGTTATCTGTCAATTATATCTCAATAAAATTGGAAAAAATAAAAGAAATAGGCTATAAAAAAAAGACAGTCTCAATTAGTTGACCTCATGGTTTCCTTAAAATTCTAAGATTCTATGATTCTGTGAAATTGAGAGAAAGGAAAGAAGATAGAGAGGTACTACCAGTTTTGGTTGTGTGGATTGGGCCTTTTCATACTTTATTTCATAATATCCTCACAGAGGAAAGTAGCTCCCAAAGGAAAGCATTCTTAAAGCACATTTTCAGATGAGAAAATGGAATTTTGGAGAAGTGCTTGCCAAAGGTCACACAGAGAGATTGTGGCAAAGCTGGAATTTGTACTCAGGTCTTCCAGAATCTAAAGTCCACACTCAGTCCTCTACACCCCACTGCCTCCATAAGGACAGGAAAAATGGATGGCAATGGTGAAAAAAATCACCTGATAGACCTCATTTTTCAAAAGATCTATGTACAGTGAGTTAAAAAACTAAACAACCTTTCGCTGTTTGACTAGGGCCAGATTCCCCTCGGGTATATGTTTTGTTTATAATTTATCAAGTCTCCAACTTGAAAAGACTTGAAGCCTATTTGTGTG